AGGATTTTCTCCCATGATTCTTAGGGGACATTTGTAATTGAATACATCTGCAAACCATATACAGTAATAGTAATGTGATTCATTAGCTACTGGTAAAGGACACGTTCCTTTTTTTCAAACAGATGGCTCATATGCAATTGAATGAAATGTTAAATTCAGACTCTTTTAGATAGGCTTCCCTGTGTATGTTTAAAAATTATAAAAATTGTAACTAATACACAACTCACCCAGGGGTGGAGCTAGAGAAATATTAATGCGGAATGAATGCAGAATTTAAGGGGTGGCAGAAATACATGTTGATTTAATCACAAACAATCACATACAATCATATCAGCATATTAGTGACTGAAATGGGCCAGTTCTCAGTGATTTTTGTACTCATGAGTACCCTCTTTTTCATAATGAGTACCATCACACCTAATGAACATGGCCGTACCCACCACTATATAATATATATGTACATAATATATATATATTTTATTTTTGGGCTGTTAATTTTACTTACGTGATTGTCTTATTATACATATTGTTTGAGATTGTTTGTTGGAGGGAGCCCGAGAATTAAGAATTTTAATGCCAATGACTGCTCCACTGTTATTGTTGTGCATTCGACAATAAAGAAATACATTTAATCCATTCTTCACCGTCTTGAACTTAAGGAAAAACTAGGTGCATTTATTTTGATGCGAAAGATATCCTCGCTAATAAAAACATTGCAGATGTGTTATCACTTAACCATGAGATTGCACACAAGTCTGAATTGAGATTGTATTTTGCTCTGTGACTAATATTTATGGAGAAGAGTTGTTGAGGATTTTATTCTTGTCTGAAGGCCTTTTTATGTCTTATGTAAAGCACTTTTAATTGCCTTGTTGTTAAAAGCTTTTGTACAAATACAATTTTCTTGTCTTATGATGATCGTGGATTTGTATTTGTAATTCCAAGAGCGTCCCCTGCGTTGTGTATCCCCCTGGCTGATGGGAGAATCTAGAACAATAATTGATGGTTGTCTATCACAAAGAATCTTGCATTCATATTTCTTGCATTGAAGCTCGGAAGCACTGTGTTGGGTGAAGAGATTCCAGCGTGTCCTCAGGGAGTTGAGGTTGTGTTGCTGTTGGATGAAGTACACATTGATAAGCATCTGTGTATTGGGGAGGCTCATCTAATGAACAATCTTAATTAGATCTCCCCCAATGCCTGCATGAAGAAGGATATGAAAAAGAGTTGTCATTCCTTTTACCTATTACAAACCTCTTCCCTCCCCAGGCTGCGCCTCACGCTAGTCACATCTCCTGTTTGTGCCAGCTGGCTGTAAACTGCCTAAAAAGGAAGAAACTCTTGGCATGTCACACTCTTTATAATGCCACCCCATTCTGCTTACCTCTTACAGTTTTGGGCAAAAAATATAAATTCTTTGCATGTGGTATAAATGTTATTTGAAAATGTTTGCAAACTGGGGTCCCTGAACAGAATTGCATACATTTGGAATGAATAGAAAGCTGAGACACATACTTCATGCAATCCCTGCATAAGTCAGTGCCCCTCTTCTGCCACCCCAGTCAAAAATGTCTGGAAATGCCCCTGGACTCTAGCCCCAGGGTGCGAGGAGCCAAACCCGCCTAAAAAACCCCCCCACCTTGGTACATTATTCCCTGTCATCAAACTGGCATCAGATGTTGCATTTGGTCTAGGTCTGGCTGTGCTGTTGACTGGGAGCTGTGACTCCAGCAGAGTCAGTTAATAGAACTGCTATAGCTGCTTGATGGGGGGCCTTAACGCACATTCAGCGCTATTGGCTACTATGACAAAGCCCTTCCTAGCAGCTAGGGATCATGTGGATTTAATCCAGAGCAATTTATATTCTGTAAATTCTGTCAGTTTCTCGCCTAATTTTTACCTACCTTGCCATCCACCTATCTGCCCAGACAACTGCCTACCTCTACGATGATCAGTGTATGATCAGTGATCCTGATTATCAATTATCTGATTATCAATTATCTGCTCCTTCTCACTGAGGAGCAGATAATTGCCCCTTAATCAAGGTCATGGTCAGTTGCCTTAGCCTGGGTGTTATGGAGGCACAAATCTCATTTTTAAAGTACACCCTGAAGCTCAAACATAGCTCAGTAAAACACACAGTAGTGATAATTGTGAAAGTGGCTTTTCTGGAATACGTATTTATATCTTTAGGCACACAGCTTAAACTGCCACGTAGAAAGACATGTTTGCAGTGTCTGTGATTATTCATCATCCGAAGGAGCTATACTTGAATGGATAGCTAGAATCATAAAATGCAGATTTTTAGAAAGAGCAGTGCTAGGGTGAAATGATCAAGCTTCACCAGAGCTTTGATCAGTCCCCAAAAATGGGCCTGAGCTAGAGCCAAATGCGAATTTCCGCTTGCAAAAACCTACAGCTGCAGTTTTGGGCTTGAACTCAGTGGGTTGGGTTGGGTCGGGTCCAATCAGGTTAGGTCTAAGCTTCACCCACCATGATTGACCGTAACTGGCACATTTTTTCAGATGCTTAGAGAGAAGTTAGTATGTCCAAAGCTTTTCTTCTGATCTCATTTTGGAGCTTTGGTGATGTAATAATCATGAAATTAACCACTCCAGGCCCTTGCATTAAGTTCTGGTCATGACTGAGATCTCTTTCTACTAGGGATGCACAGATACCGATGCCAGTGTTGGGTATTTGTTCCGATAACTTTCTCATGTACTCATATTTGTAATCATAAAACTACTCCGATACTACTTTACAACCGCGTGAGGTTACGTTACCTCTCGTTAGTTGGGCAGGTAGGCAGAAGAGAAACAATGTCAGCAGTTTGGAGGTTTTAAAGAAACTTTTACAACAACTTCAGCAACATTTAATTTGTTACAATCAAACTGAACATCTGATGAAAATAAAACATGTTTTCAGAGTCAGTGTTAGAACTGTAATGCTATTTAGTAAATACTCGTATCCGCAAGCACCCAAATTTAAGTAGTAAAAAGGTGGTATTCGTGCATCCCTACGTTCCACATTCCACTGTAATTGATGGAATCGCTACATTTTCTGCTTCATTTGCCTGTTTGTTGTGTAATCAAAGTGTCTCCTGAGGGAGTCACAACTAGCCGTCAGCATTTTTAGTCCAGACGCGGCTGAAGCTACTCGATGCCACCTGTAAAAATAAAACCAGTCTTTCCTCTCCAGAGATTTTCCCTTCTTGTGTTAATGGAAATGTCAGTTAACATTTTATCCCCTGTGGTTGTATTCTCCTCATTCATTAGTATTCCATCCTTAGACCGTCCTTCTCTGCTCTCCGCACTGAGAGGCTCCCTTTATGTGCTTTAGCTCCTCTGTGTGTCATACATGTGCCACATCTCTGGAGACCTGTGCATTATCACTGGGGGACAGATAACCACAACGCGGTCTGGAGATGACGGGGCTCAGCCCAGCTCTCTGCTCAGTGACAGACCATGACCACCATCCACCGCCTGACGCTGTGTGGAAATGGCCCACCTGTTGCCCTACTATTGTAGTCTGCCTTTTATCAGCACCTCGCAGCCTGAGCAGCCAGCGTTTGAGCTGTTTGTGTTTGCGCGTGGATGTGTGAGTGGGGGAGCATCTTTCATGGACGACCGCGACAGCTGACATTCTCAAAGAAGTAGGGGAAGGCGCACAGGAGACTCTGGGATGGAGCCACAGAGGGAATAATTATGGAGTTCCGCTATAATGGAAGTTGACAGAGGTCAAAACGGTGGGATCAGCAGGAGGAAGACTAACTCCTCCCCCACCTCCTGTCCTTTCCTATCTCCTAATCTCCTACCTTCTCTGCACAGCTCCTTGTCTCAGCATAAATAAAAACATCTTCACCTCCTGGGAACACCAATATATTCATAGACCCACAGTGGGAAATTAACTCCTCAAGTTTGCAAAAAAGTGCATCAATGTCTCTGCTTGTGCAAACAGTATTTTAGTCCTCTGTAGTAGTAGTAGTAGTAGTAGTAGTAGTAGTAGTAGAATGAATGGGTTAATGCTTGTATAAGCCTTCTCCAGTCCAAACTGTTTTGAGTTGGTTCTGTTTTGGTGCTCCTGCTGGTGTCTGAGTACACACATTCACACATGATACCACTGCTAACTCTCCAGTTGGAGCTGCAGTCATAACAGCGGCAGTGGCTATCCTCATCTTTAAGATGAATGGTGTCTGGCTCTGGCACTGGTATTAGCCACCAAATGAGTTAATGGTGTTTCTCAGCAGTGAAAAATGACAGACCTAATGCTCTGCAGAGGCCAAGGAAGACAATGCAATAGAACCGGTGTGAAGTCCACTTACATACACTTCTTAGCAATACCTGGATTTATATTTTATTCAGTTGTTTATTCCCTTTAACTTGTTTAGTTTCTTGTTTTCTTCTCATCATCCCAAATGTGCGAGTTAAAAGAGAGGACGTTTTGCTCTCATGTTTCGTCTGAGTGCAGTTGTATGAGGTACTTATCCAGAGTCAGTGTATTACCTACCGAAGTTGTGTAGTGGTCTCTGATGTAGTAAGTATACTTTAATTTATGCCATCCAAATTTTTATTTTAATCGGCCTGACCAGCAAAGGATTTACTCCCTACTCTTGCTCATCAAAAATGGGCCATTGTCATTTAACTTCTGCTGCTTAACTTCATTAGCCTGCACTACAGGGTTAACCTACAGGTACATTATATGATTTGCTATCCTGAGTTGTCAAGACAAACCTGGAAAATGTCCTGGAATATCCATATTATGCATCTCTACTCACCTGTCATGGCCGGAGTGTCATTGGGTGTAACTTCTTGTGTCTGTAGCTGGCAAATCGTCTGTGGTACAGTTTTGCCTTAAGCATCCCTTACTGCTGAGACCCAGCTTTCACACACATGCACACCTTCATCCATGACAGAGCAATTGATTCGCTATTTAATCATTCTTATTTTGTTGTGTGTGATGTTGCTAACCTTCATTCTCCTCTCTGTCTTTCCTCCCTCCAGATGGTCACAAGAACAAAGAAAATATTTGTTGGAGGATTATCCGCCAACACAGTAATTGAAGATGTGAAGCAATATTTTGAACAGTTTGGCAAGGTAAGAGCATTTGGAGTGTTTTCTCCTCTGGGTTGTTTGTGTGTTTGAGAGCTTCTGAGGTGTGTCTTTTGAAGTTTTAAAGCAGGTTGATGAGTTTAGTGCTGCTGTGTGAGTTCTGAGGACTGCTGGTGCTAGCTCTCTTCAGTTTGATTTCCTGGTGATGTTGTGGAGAACTTGTGGAGAGAATGTGCTGGAGACCAGTCTGATGAGATGTGTCATCCGGCTGTCCAATATCAGATGAGAAAAGGCCTATCAGTTTCACCTCTGTGTCCAGTACTGGGAGATGTCCAGGATATGTTTAGTTTAGCCTAGCACAAAGACTGGAAGCAGAGGGAAACTGCTAACCTAGCTTCAGTCTAACACATTGTTGTTTGGAAAGATCAGTTTGCTGTTCTGGGCTGAGATAGAGATTACTGAGGCTTTCCTTACTGTGTGTGTGTGTTTGGTTTGCTGAAATATGTGTGTGTGTGTGTGTGTGTGTGTGTGTGTGTAAGTATTTTCATGCCAAAGCATTCTCCCTGGACCTTTTACCATCTTTAACAGGGCAGTATCAGCCCCATATATCAGTATAAACCCAGAGTGTGTGTGCATGTGTGTGTTCATCCAGGTCACCGTGACAACCTCTCAGTCCATCTGTTTACCTGTGTTCTCGCAGACCTACCTAGGTCATCCATCAAGGTGGCACAGCCATCTAACACACTCACATACACACATTTAGCCCCTGTGTGTGTGTGTGTGTGTGTGTGTGTGTGTGTGTGTGTGTATGTGGATAAGCAGAGTAATAAGATGATGGAGTAAATGGAGAAATCAGGACTATTGAGAGAAAGGTGAAGACAGGAAGGAAACAGAGCAGTATGAGATTTGTATGCAAACATGTTATTTATTTATGTGCTACTTTTGTGTATTAGGTTAAGCTTCTGCATGTGAGAAAATATCTGGATGGATTTCAGAGTTGTCGATATGAGATATAGCAGAGTTAGCGGTACTAACTAGGAAGAAGTCTATATGGAATAGCTTTAATAGGAGTATTCTTTATCTGAAGGGTCTAAGTGTCTGTAATTGTTTCCAGTGTTTGATTTAAGATAGGTTAGATAAGTAAATTGTAAATGGACCTGTACTTGTATAGCGCCTTTCTAGTCTCCACTCAAAGTGCTTTTACACTACATGGCACATTCGTCCTTTCACACACATTCACTCAGCGATGGCAAAGTCTATAGAACAGAGACTAACACATTCATACACATTCACACACCGATGCACAGCATCGGGAGCAATTCAGGGTTCAGTATCTTGCTCAAGGATACTTCAACATGTGGCTGGAGGAGTAGGGGGATCGAAACAACAACCTTCTGATTAGTGGACGACCCACTCTGCCTGTGAGCCACAGATGAGATAGTAAGTCTCCTCTTACTATGATTATTGAGTAAGATGTGAGAATACTGTGAGATATAATTCAGGGCTTTCATCATTGGGCCCATTAATGATTGGCTGTTTTCACTTTCCAAAGAAGCCCAATAAAATAATGACCTTCTGGGTCTACAACTGTATTTTTGTTTTGGTATGAAACATTATTATTTTTCAGGAACAATAATATGTGTCTGGTATATTTTTTCCACACAAAAAGGTATAACATAAAAATAAATGGTAAATGGACCTGTACTTGTATAGGGCTTTTCTAGTCTTCCAACCACTCAAAGCGCTGTACTCCTTACTCTCATTACAAATTCCAGAATCTATGAATATGCAAATGTTGTTCATTTGTAACGTTTTCCTGCTGGAATAAACTTGACATTATAAGCATAGGCCATCAGATACGTTGAAGCTAAATTATTATGATGATATTATTATGATGATTTGGGGCGCTTCTCCTGATGACAAATAAATAAATTTCATCATAAACCTACTCAACTCTGATCATATGACTCCAGGTTACAGTCAACTTTTACATTATCATTTTTCACACAAATTAGCATTAATTTATCCAGAGCTCACAGAGGATCACAGTCACACATCTCTTATAAATGAAAAAGGTGTTTTCGTGTGTCTATAAGCTGTGGCAGAGTTAGACAGAGGATTTCAATCCCATAATTATTTTTTACCAACACATATAACGTACATAATTCACAGCGAGTTGAAAATGAAAATAATTATAGCTTTTTCCACCACAACAAGTATCTAGCTGACAGTACACTATGTGCAATTTGCCAGTGTGAGCCCATAATGTTAGCTACAGCAGGTGCTGACCATTCACCAGGGTGGGCAGAGGCAAACTAGAGAGAGAAAAAGAGAGAGAGATAGAGGTGGAGGGGGGGAAACACAGTAGAGGCCACATAAAAAAAACAAAAACATTTATTTAAACAAAGCAGCACAATCGGCCGGTTGTTGTATAAAAAAACTATCCGTCTGAACGTTTGAAAACAAATCCATCCATAATTTTCCAATTTAACAAACAAATTCAGTTTACTAATTTTACACTACAGAAAATAACGGCAAAGGTGAGTGCACACAGTGATGTAGATAAGCTTCCCCACTGATCTCAGGACAGTGACAGCCTAATGAGCCTATGGTGAATACCAATATGTGGGTACTGAATGGCAGCAGTGTGATACTGACAGCACTATAGGTAGCTGGTGAAGTGACTTATTTTTTTCAGTGATTGTTTTGGAAAAGCTAAAGTTTCCCTACAGTTGCACTGCAAAAGTCGAGTGTGTATTCCTCTGTGATGGATCTCAAGACAAGCAACAAACTGAGAAAGACAATCAACAAACACAACAACAAACAAGTGTAACTGTGTAGTGAGGGGATAGAGAGGGTAAATGCATGTAAAGTATATGCAGTAAAGTTTGCAAAATGTCCACAGCAAGAAATTTGCATAATTTGTTTTTTTTTATATTTTAATCACTTTAGAAGAGACAGGATGTGGTGATGGAGTCCCGGAATAGCTGTCTTTCAGTGTACAGTCTGTCTACCATCTATCATCTCACATCATTTGTTTGTAGAATTGGTAGTTGATGCCAAATATTGTCCCTTTTAGCTTGTGTCCCTTGCTCCTTACGGTTGGAGGTGTTCAAATTTGTCAGTTAACATAAGATAAGATAAGCTATTCCTTTATTTATCCCCCTTAGGAGAAAATTCAGGTTGACACAGCAGCAATAGGGCAAAGTAGTGCAAAAACAGAGAACAAAGAATATCACAATAAAGATATTACTAATATTATTCATATTAGAAGATATTAAACTATAAATTAAAGTATATACACTATGCATTGTTCAAGTAGGACATGGAGTGCAAAATATAAGGAATGGACTTATATACTTCTGAATATTGTAGACATCATAATATTGGATGAAGTCTGTTTTCCATGCAGGTTCCAAATCGGAATAGGTAAAGTTTTCATTTTTGGTTGTGCTTTTGGGGATTCCGGAAAAGATGAGATTCTCACACTTATTTCTAGTTTGGATGTTGAGGAACTTCTGTCAGTGTGGCAAAACTTTATAAATCATGGTGAAATTCTGTAGGTCGGTTAAATTGTGCACCTCAGATTGTGGGATTGGGAAACGGATTGGATTGCTGTGGGTATTCACCTGCAACAGATGAAGGTAGCCTGTGTGAACACAATCCTTGAAACCATTGGCTATAGTCTGACATCACTTTAACCTCTAGGAGCAACAGCTAATGATTCGGGGCTTCCGGTGTATCCAGCAGATATCTAGGCCAAGACTTCCTCTCCAGTTCGATTAGCAATTTGATACAGGAGAATGAGGGGAAAGACACATTTTGACCAATCTCTATAAACAGATATCTCCATGTCAATGCAGATACATAAAAGAAACGAAAAGATAACACTTTTCCTCCATGATAGCATTAACTTGTGATTTCAGTCAGAATAACTTCCATGTTCACAATATCAATTGTGATCCAATTCATTCATCCAGACTTTGTTAGTGAAATTTTGCCAATGGCAGTATTGCTAAATAACCCAACACAGCCCAACACAATGAAATAATCTCTACCTGTTCCTCTCTTCACTTCCTTCATTGGGTGAAGAGAGTTTTAGCATACAGTATATCTTTTCTTCCTGCTTTTCATCATTGACAACACCCTTTGGACAGTGCAGCTTAAACTCCAAAGCACAGCAGTGAGCAAGAATCTGAAATATTTTAAATGTGGTTGAAATACTTGAGTGCCTCAGTGTTCAGTTGCCTCTGCCTGGCTCTCTGTGGAAATGAGAGGGAACAAATTAGAGGAAGTTAGTGAGGGATGAAAGAGGAGAGAACATTGCTCTAGTCCACAGGATTAATGCTGTCTAGAGACCCTTTAACATTTTTATTTACATCTTCAGTGTTCACACTTTTTTTTAATTTGACCTTTATTTACCTAGATAAATCAATTGAGAACCAACGATCTACAGTAGCCCAGAACGGACAATCCAAACACTGGTTCTAGATGAGGCCTTTTGCGTTTTTCGTGGCCAATGTGGTTTCAGATGATTGATTTTTCTCTTTTTTGAAATCGCTTGTCTAATATTTACAAGTTATCTCAGAAAGTATGCGTGAGTTTCAGATACATGTTACTGGTTATTATCTCAAATGTACCAAATGTTTACCACAAGGATGCAAGTCAGCCTTACTTTATGTTTACATCCTGCTTTAGTAGAATATTACAGAAGAAGAGAAGTTTGAAAATGTGCATTTGTTTACTATTTTTGCATGTCATGGCAAATTTAAAACTTATACCTCCAAATAGATGTGAAAAAAAAGATTGTGTGCATCCAGTGTAATTTAAGTACTGTGTTCATGTCTTTCCAACTAGTGACAAATGTGTAATCTCTCCTTGACTACAAACATTACTGTATAATAAACTACCTTGTTAAAGTATATAAGATTTTAGGTTTTCATAATGATAACTCCTTTTTTGAGGTTCAGAAATGATAACGTAAAGATATTCTCAACTCTTTAGGGCCCAGGTTTGCAATGATGATCAAATGTCACACTTGGCCC